AAATTTCAATTAAAAAAAATCATAGGTTTTCTGTTGTTCAATAAAGTTAAAAACAAATATCAGAAAAAAGTGCTTGCAAGAATATTACTTTAAAGCTATGTACCTAAGCCCACAATTTGCTCTCTTTTTTGATTGAATGGGTCTTTTGCTTAATTGAATGATTTTAATTGTCCCAGAAGCTTTGCTAGGACCTGTAATAAAGTGAACATTTACTCAAACTATACAGACGGCCCAACGGTTAATCATTAAACACGATCCATTCAAAAATGTTAAGTGGAAATCTATGGTTAGAGTAGAACTATGCAATAAGTAAAGGTTATATATAGATTTAACAAGCATTATGAGAGTGTTGCATTAGCAATACTAGACCCCTACCCCCTACCAGCAAGTGTAATCTGGTCCCATTAGAAATTAAAAATGCTGTAATTCCGTCAAAAAAAACAATGAAGCGGAACGTAATGCAAACTTAATCTGTAACTCTTCAAGATACACACACATACCAAAAATCAGCTCAATGTCTGCAAGCGTTTAGAAAAAAATTGCGGAAAACCCTTAAAAATTAAAAAGGCTTAGAGGAAACCTATAGTCCCCTCCGGTGAAACCGTTAGGGGACTAATAACAGTACGCATTTGAATAAAACACAAAGCGAACATTTATATGCAATAAGAAAATATGGCACACACCGGGTAATGCGTAGAACAAAGAGGGAGTAATGATGCAAGTGCATTTTGGGTACAATGTAATATTCAACACAACGACACGATGTCTGAACAGGACAAAAATTATAAAAATAAAGAATTTAAGGTCAAATGAAGAATATTTTATAGACCACCTCTCTGCATGTGGATAATTTAAGGCATCAGCCGCATATCTTTTCATGATGGTACAACAAACAATATCCAACTGAGATTTCAAGCTGACATACATGTATCATGTTCCCAGGCATATTAGTAAGCATATAAATATTGTTCTTCAAGCATATAAAATTAAATGCGCAAACAAATAACGCAATGATCAAATTGTTAACTGGGAAGCAGTACTTTCTGTAGTGTGAAGTTATTGCCCTTATAATTATAAATTACATTGATTTTTTGTAAAAATAAACAACTCTTCTAAATCTAATTTAAAGTTAAAAGATCAAGAATAGATATTCTATAATTTCCTTTAAAATTACTTTTAAAAGAATTTTCTTGTTGTTGTAGAATATGTTTTTTCCGTTATTTTTTATTATAAATAAATTATGAAACACTGTGTATTATGCATTTTATTTCAAAAAGACCAAATAGACAGAAAATAAAATAAAGAAAGAAAGAAGGAGATAGTAGGGGAGAGAAAGAGGGAGAGAGTTGAGAAAGAATAGTGAAAGAGTTGGAAGAGAGGAGACAGAAGGAGAGAGCGAGATTGTGTAGAGGGCGAGGGTGGTATGGAAAGAGAGTGTAGATAGAGACAATGAGAGTGGGAAGAGCGAAGGGAAAGACAGAGTAGGGAGAGGGACTTTGAGGGGAGAGAGAAAGGTCTGTGGAAAGAGACAGAGTAGGGAGAGAGATTGTGGAACAGAGGGGAGGGGAGATAGGGTAGGAAGAAAAAAGAAAGAGAGGTAGTAGGGAGAGGAGTGAAGTGGACAAAGGAGAGAGAGCATCTACCTCTCTACACCAACACTCCTGAACAGGGACCACAGGTGTATTTACTGATCATTCCAACGCACTTAGTTTATCTGCAAAATATACATGGAAGAGAGGATTTTTTTTATTATAAGTTGCAATGATGTAGCTATCACCATTTTTAGCTCACCAGAGCTGAAAGCTCAAGTGAGATTTTCTGGTCATCCATTGTCCGTCGTCCATTCGTCCGTCCGTCTGTAAACTTTTCACATTTTCAACTTCTTCTTAAGAATCACTGGGCCAATTTTAACCAAACTTGGTGCAAATAATCCTTGAGTGAAGGGGGGGGGGTTAAAATTATTAAAATGAAGGGCCAAGCACCCTTCCAAGGGGAGATAATCAAGAAAGACAAAAACAAGGTGTGGTCATTAAAAAATCTTCTTCTCAAGAACCACTGAACCAGAAAAACTGAAACTTAAGTGGAAATATCCTAGATAAGGGTAGATTCTAAATGTTAGAATCATGACCCCAGGGGGTAGGGCAGGGCCACAAAAGGGAATCTAATTTTAACATTGAGATATATAGGAATTTTTTTAAAAAATCTTCTGGAGAACCATTGGGCCAGAAAAGCTGCAATAATGATATATATATATATATATATATATATATATATATATATATATATATATATATATATATATATATATATATATATATATATATATATATATATATATATATATATATATATATGATCTAAAATATATGGAAACATCCTGAAGTAGTGTAGATTCTAAATTGTTCAAATCATGACCCCCGGGGTCGGGCTTGGGCCACAATAGGGAATCCAAGTTTTACATTGAAATATGTAGAAAAAAATATTTAAAAATCTTCTTCTCAAGAACCACAGGGCCAGAAATGCATACACTTATGTGGAAGCATCCTGGGGTATATATATTCTAAATTGTTAAAATCATGACCCCTGGGGATAAGGCGGGGATACAATAGGGAATTTAAGTTTTACATTAAAATGTATAGGAAAAATCTTTAAAAATCTTCTTCTCAAGAATCACTGGGCCAGAAAGCTTAAACTTTAGTTGAAGCATCCTGGGGTAGTGTAGATTCTAAATTATTCAAATCAAGACCTTTGGGGGTAGGGCGGGGGCCACAATAGGTATTACACGGGGGGAAATCAGGTGAAAAAAAGCAAAGCCAAAGTTACTCAGGTGAGCGTTGTGGCCCATGGACATCTTGTTTTTTTTTTTGGGGGGGGGGGAGGGAGGCAATGCCATTATGGTTCAAGCGCGCACATTGCACTCAAATTATCAGTAAGTATCTATTTATTACAATCTCTTACCTAAACTCAAAAAATGTAGTTATGCAAGACATCAAATGATAAAAAGAATACACAGAAAAATCCATATCTTGATTATTTTTCATGTATGCCAACATCAAAACTTTATTCTGATTTATTCTGGGCAGATTTGTTCAGGAATTCATCACTGTTTATGAAAAAATATCACATGGAATGGTTTTATATTTCGATGTTTAGTGACACTATACAACACTATCATTTATCAACACAGACATTTCCTTTATCAAGCTATTCTACATTTCAAGAGCAAGTCTCATTACATCACCATGGAGGCTCCCGGGCCATTAAACTGAGATGAGCTAACTTTAATTTTGATCTCGTCTCACTTTTACGAAAGGAAAATATAGTGGAAAAGTGAGACTGAGATCAAAATTTGTTCTATGGCCAGACAGGAATTATGAGGGATTGTTCCGAGATTCGGTGAAGGCGTCAGTCCAAATATTTAGCTGAGCCGAGAAAAGGGAGACCCCAAACTCTAAGGATGTAATGGCAAGGTACTGTGTGAATTTCCGACACGCAAGAACTGTCATGACTGCTGATGAGGAGAACGATCGACTGGTAAACACGCAGATTTATTTTTACCTGGTTTTTACCTGTTAAGGGCTATGTTGTTGACAGTGACGTTTAATGCAAAAGCAATTTATATTGCCTGCAGTGGTCGCCTGTATTCAAAAAAATATATTTGCACCATTATGGACATCCCATGTAATTGTAGCCTTCTCCCGAAAATATCAGATTTAAAAATATCGGAGAAGGCTACATTATTGCAGCTACTTCGATATATGATCATTAGAGCCCCACTCTCACTTCAGAACCCCTGGCCTGGGACCAAAATTTTCACAATTTAGGAAAAGGCACCTTTTCTCATCATTACTGTGCACCTAGTTTATCTGCTAAATGTACAGGGGAGAGAGGACTTTTTCACTATATGATCATTAGAGTCCCGCTCAATGATTACAAAAAATTCAAATTGTCTTGAAATATCTGATTAGAAGCCACTGGACTGGGTGTTTTTACTGTCAATTCATAAACAAGTTAATCAAAATTATTAATTTTATTTGTATATTAAACACAGAGAGATTGTTTCGATTCAAAAGTTTTCAAGATAATGCCTCAGAGGAAACAGCAATTCACTATTCTCTACCATCTGCTCATGCAATTGTTGGCAATTTCATAGTGGTTGTTACATGTAAAATCGGTACGATATACATAAAGAATTAAGATAACGATTTTCAAGATTGACACTAATGCTCTTTGTTTATTGCAAAGTATTTAAATATACATCTTTTCATCAGATTAAAATAATGGTGTCAGCCAAACCAGTCAAAAATCAGGAATACCAAAACATTAAGAATGAATGCATCATGAACAGGGCGCTGTTCAGGAACAGTGAATTTCCTCCCCAGGGTGCCTCCCTATTTTACAGCAGGGCAGCCCGGAAACGACCAGGGGTGAGCATCAATCAATAATTAGTGATAGGTGATATGACGAAACTCATAAAAGGAAAAAGTAAAGAATATTGATCGACCTAACAAAATCTACAAAAAGCACAAATTTGTGAACAGGGGGAAAAAAGGACCCTCGGGAATTCCAGAAATCTACGATTTTATGGATAGTCGGGTGAAAATTTTTTTTCCTTTTCGTGAACAGCCAACGGAGTGTAATTCTTAGAACTTCCTTTCCAAGTACGACTCTAAGATTTTGCCAAAATGTACAGAAATGACGAAAATTGAACGACAGAAATTTGGAAGGGGTGGGGGTGGGGATGGGTGGTGGATGTATGATGTACATCGTTAAGAGGTTACATGTACTACAGCAGTAAAAAATGTTTTGAGCCGAACTACTAGACAGCAATAAACTTTGATGAGGTCTTTTTTAGGTAAAAAAACAACAAGACAGAAGAAAATTTTCAATATCTTCTATTTCAATTACAAATATTAATATATTTTACAAAAAAAAAATTTAAGGTCGGACTCCAAAAATAATCCAAAATCATTAAGAGTCTCTCAGACTCATTTTCCATATCATTTCAGTCCCAAAAACTTTAAAACACGGGTTTTGATGTTTTTTCTTGTCTTGGTTGGGGAGGATTTCTGAAGAAGAAGAAAAAAAATGTGTAACACAAAAAATATTTGAAACTGTTTAAGAAATGTCAGTCAAATAAAGAGACGTTTTTAAACAGATTTTAATACTTTTATCAATGTCAAACAAAAAGATACCTTTTCTGAACATGTTCCATGAGCATGTTTATCTTCCAAATTTCCCATGCTTAATAAGGGGTTAGGAGTATACTTGGTTTGATTTAGCTTTTCACTCTGAAAGAAAATATATAGTCATGTTATTGTTAATATCCAATAAGAAAAATTTAAAGCATTTTTGAGTGTCATCTCTCTAAGGGGATGTAAAAAAAATTAAATAAAATGTTAATTACCTTTGAGCTGTCCTTGAAATAGTCTATATTGAAGAGGAAGAGTTTCCTGGGTACAAACAATACATTGTTATTCTCCTCATTAGCTTCCATTTCTCCCTCCATGCAGGAATTCTTTAATATGGTAATAATTGAAAGTTAATTTTCGAAGAAAAGCCGACAGCATATGAAAACTAATTCAAAAATTCATTTTAAACCATTCAGGCAGCTTACTTTTGATTTCTCCTGTACTTTTTGCTGGATTTGGTCTGTGTGTGATTTCATTTCGGAGCTTGTCTCCTAAAGAAAGTAAATAAGCTTTTGATTTAGCAGACAAATAGAAATAAAAAATTAAAATCTTAAAATATTTTAAAGAATAAATACCAAACTTACTCTTAATCTTTGCTCAAGTTGTTTTAGAAGCTTTTCTTCCGCCATTTGAATCACATAGTTGATGAACTCCTAAAAAAAAAAAAAATTAAGAACTGGTAAACGACATTGAAGTCATTTCAATTCGTTACGATAATTTTGTTATGGATCGCTGGAAATTTTCGAGTTCGTTGGGACGTACAATGGTGTGTTTTTACATCGAATATTGAATCTTTCAAAGCTAACTTCACATTTATAATAATAAGCTCAATCATACCTTAATGAGTCGATCTTTTTTCTTTTCCTCCACTCTCTGGGAAAAAAAGGTAAATTTAAATATTAATGTTAATATTTAAGTCAAACATATTAACATTCAAACAAAGCTAACATGCATCTGCGGATATCACATGTGAAATAACTTTAATGTACTTATAAAATGTACCTACCACAAGCTCCCTGTGGACTGCTTTCATCATTTCTAGTTTTCTGTATAAATCTGCTCGAATGTGGTTCATATAATTGGTCCTTTTGGTTACCGTTTCCTATTAATATGGAAGAAAAAATTGTATACAAGGATTTACAAGAGAAGTGGTATTTTGTTTGAAACATGTTTATTAATTGGACTTAAATAATCATTAATTATAAATCTAAATTATTAAGCTGATAATATCAATGCGTAGACAATTTATTAATTCGTTATTGATAGGCTATCAATCAAGGTGATATCACGTTTAGCTGAACACCAAATCGTTTTGACATTTTTGAAATATCTATAAGCAAGGATTAGCACTTCTTCAGGGAAAAAAAAATTTGAATCCATCATATCATTTTAATCAGTTGTTTTACTCACCATACATTCCTGCAGAACTTTCGTTATAACAGCACGAGCGGTTTTCTTTCTTTGACATTCGATCTGAAAATATACACACAAAAAAATAAAAGATAAGTCTTTTAGACGAAAGAATTGGTTTATGCAAGTATTAAAAGTACCTCATGAAGTCATATTGATAATTAAATGACACTAATTGGCGAGTAGTTCATACCTTAAGTTCTCCATGAACAACCTCCATTAGCTCCCTTTTTCGCATCATGTCGGCCTGTATTTTCTTCATCTTGCTTAACTTTCTGGCTGTAGTGTCCTAGAATAAGTATACATTGGCTACATTTAAGATAACTTGATTCTAACTCGCTGTTTACTAAATTAAGATTAAATAGTGAGTAATGCGTACTTTAAGTTCTCTGTGTACAGCATCCATTAGCTCCCTTTTTCGCATCATGTCGGCCTGTATTTTCTCCATCTTGCTTAATTTTATGGCTGTAGTGTCCTAGAATTAGTATTCATTGTTTACATTTAAAATAACTTGATTCTAACTCACTGTTTATTAAATCAAGATTAAGTGGTGAGTACTACGTACCTTAAGTTCTCTGTGTACAGCATCCATTAGCTCCCTTTTTCGCATCATGTCGGCCTGTATTTTCTCCATCTTACTTAACTTTCTGGCTATAGTGTCCTAGAATTAGTATACATTGGTTACATTTAAGATAACTTGGTTCTAACTCTCTGTTTATGAAATCAAGAGTAAATGGTGAGTACTACGTACCTTAAGTTCTCTGTGTACAGCATCCATTAGCTCCCTTTTTCGAATCATGTCGGCTTGTATTTTCTCCATCCCGCTTAACTTTCTAGCTGTGGTGTCCTGGAATACGTATACATTGGCTACATTTAAGATAACTTGATTAAAATTCACCAATCATTAAATCAACATTAATTGGTAAATACTACGTACCTTAATCTCTCTGTGTTCAGCCTCCATTTGATCTTTCTTCCTCATCATGTCGGACCATATTTTTTGCATCTCGTTTTTCTTTCTGGTTATGGTTTCCTAGGATAAGTATACGTTCAGTACATTTTAAAGTTCATGCTTCCATTTCATTGTTCATAAAATGTACAATGTCATGAATCAGTGAGTACTACATACCATCAGCTCTCTATGGATATCCTGCATTAACTCCTTTTTTCGCATCATGTCGGCCTGTACTTTCTCCATCTCGCTTGACTTTCTGGCTGTAGTGTCCTACAATAAGTATACATTGATTTCATATTGGTTACATTTTAGAAAATATGCTTCTTATTCACTGTTCCCTAAATTTACATTAATAAGCGATTACTATACGTACCTTTAGCTCTCTGTGGATAGCCTCCATTTTATCTGTCTTCCTTGCCATGTCAGACCGTATTTTGCGCATCTTCTTTGACTTTTTGTTAATAATGTCCTATGAAAAGAATACAAATAAATACTAAGTAAATCATAATCTTACATTACTTGCCTATAATTAACTACAATTTTGAACAGCTGATAATTTAGTTGATTCAAAGATCGGTTAGGCGAATTAAACTGGAATGGGGGTGGGGTGGTGGGTCCTTTATATCTCACTGCATCTTTTTCATATTTTTTATATTTATAAATTATACATAAATTCGATTCATTTATTTCATCCAGGGTTGAGATATTAGATAATTCCAATTTTACTTACAATCATTTCTTGGTGAACTTTCTTCATAAGGGCTTTCACAATCTTTTTTCTTTCTCTGTCTTCTAACTCCATTGCCTTACACAAATAATTAAATACAAAAATTAAACAAGGATTCTAGGAGCAATGATGCACATGAACAGCGCGTATTAATTTAATTATATTTCATAACAACATGCAATATACATGTATCATAAACAGTAAAGGCCACATAATGGTAAGAAACTATCACCAATAGATAATTTAATTACCTCCAATCTTTCTTGCCTCTCTACCTCCTCCGCCCAGTTATAACTGAACTTCAAAATCTCCAGTTTGGACTCCTGAAATAAGACAATTAATGATATCAGATAATTTAAGCACGAAACACTTTCAACATTTTTAGGTATTCACAAAATTGAAAAATTAATAAATAAAAAATTAGATGAATGACCAAAAATTTCCAGCAATCAATGTCTATACGCATATCAGTATCAAACGTAAACTAAAGCTTTGGTATACGCTTACCCCTTTGTCACTGAAATCCAGTATTTCACTGTAGTCCATCATAAATGCTTCTTAATTCTACAAAAGAAATAATAAAAATAGTGTTCACTAGGTTTTTATAACTGTAACTAAGAATTTTAATTCGTAAATTAACCAAATTATGTAAATTATTACATAGCGGCAATTCACATACTGACCTGCTTTCTGCTTAGTTCCTTTGTTTATGGTGATGATTGTGACGTCAACTAGACGTCAGATAGCTATGACGTCACAATCACAAAAGAGCAGACAACTTTTACGCATCCCATTCAGAAAAGTCCGCATGATATGCCCTGTCTCGTGAAAAAAATTCTTGTTAAAAAACTAAGTATTCAGTAAGCCAATTATGAGCGACTGATTTCTTCCTTTAAAAGTTATTAACTTACTTGATTAAAACATATTTCTTAATATAATTTTGTGTAAATTTCTTGAATCTGACTTGTTGCTGGAAAATTTTATTTAAAAAAATGTTACTCTCTGTGATGAGACCACGCCTTCGAGCGTGATAGAATGTAGCAACAGTCAACATTGATTGAGAAACCATGCCTTCCAGCATGATAGAACGTAGCAACGGTCCACATTAATTGACGACGGGTAATATTCCAAAAAAAAAAATAATAATAATAATAATAAAAATAAATAAACAAAATAATAATAATAATAATAAAAATAAAATACTGGCTGCACAGAATTTATGTGCTAACGGTTCATTAAATATAATTTACATTGCATATATAGTTGAGGGTAACAATAGACTTCATCACCCCTCGGAAACAGTTTTCAACTTCGGCTGCGCCTCCATTGATAACTTAAGGTTTTGTTCAATATTTGCCCTACATGTAACTATACAGGCAGTTTTTATATAATGTTCAGTAGTATGAATTTTAGGTAATATTACCATTTCATCAAGTGTTAGGTCTCCAAGCTGGTTTTAAGTCAACAAGATAATTCAGAGAATTTGTGTCCCTCACTTAAGGATCTAGGGGGTGGGGTCGGATCCCCCTAGATTTGCAGAATTATTAAATGTATATATATGTATACTGAAGCAAATAAAAAATGACAATATATGGATATATGGATTTGATTGCTATTATTCTTTAATATGTGCGCAGAAGATTCTTTTTATATAAAATATTTATCATACTGTAATAATGATTTCATAAGAAGTTTGCACACGCCAGACGTCGTAATTTCTTCATTTCATACGTTGATTAATGAATACTATCATTTAGTAAATCGACAAACAAACATTTCACAAAATTAAAAAAAAAAAAAAAATACGGGTTCGTCTGGGATTTGAAACCGGGACCTCTCATATGGTAAGAAATAATCACACCCACAGAACAACGAGGCGCTGTCTTGGGAAGCACATAAAATGCAAACACATATAATATTTATATTCACGTTCGATATTGTCAAACTTTTACACAACACATGGTGTCTAATTTAGCCTTTACTAAACAGTTCTAGTAGATGTAATTAGAATATAAAGTCCGTCGACAACCTGTATTATACGTAATAACTCTCCACATGCCCCTGTGCTAAAAATAGTGCCAATTAAGCGACTTTTAATATAATAAAAAAAAAGGTGGGACTCTTTGAGAGGGGCGAGAGAGGCCATAGGGAGTTATGGTATACAATTTCATAGCAAAATCTCAAATGTCAGAATTTAGGTATATGATATGCTTTGAATTCATTACTTGTACATGTGTTTCATAAGGTATTGTGTTTTCAAAAATTCTCAGAAAGGGGGGGGGGGATATGCTATAGAATCCTTAAGCCCCCCCCCCCTCTCCGTAAAGTCCCCGGATTTTAAGCTCCTGAATTTTAAGAGATTCTAAGAGTAAATATAGTCACCTTATAATTTACCTTCATAGCATATACTTTGTTAATTTAATAATTGTTAATTTTAGCATAAAAAATAGCATGCATAAAAAGATTTTCGAGTCGGAAAGACTTTGTTGTGCAAATGATAAAGTTATTATATGTACACTTTAAAAATCTTCGCTTGTTTTCACTACTTCTTATTGCTCTTATTTCCTTAAACAGCCTATTGAAGTATTGTATACCAAAAAAATTTAAGACATACAATTAATTATTGCCTTCGTCAGCCTCGGAAACTAATAAAAACTCTTTATTTATGCACATTTTAATATTATGAGAATTTTCCTCTTTATTCTTATCTTTAATTTATAAATTAGTAGGTCTGAATGCACATGTATTCATGTACCTGTAGTATCATGTACTCTTCGGAAATTGTCAAAGGGTGGGGTGCGTCCCTACATGTATGTTATGTCCCCTCTAAATCCGCCTGCATATGTATAATTTTTGATAAGCTTGTATAAATATCTTTTCTGAAAGAAACATATCGAAATTCCCTCTTAATTCCTTAATTTTCTGAATTCCTTAAATTTTGATAACGCTGTTTTCTCGAGTAACCTTTTTTTTTTTTATTCGGAAAACAAAGTTCCTAGTCAGAATAGTTCTAAAATTTACTGACAAAAACATTTAGGTGAATCGGAAAAAGTCTAAATTTACATTGGTTACGTCAAACGGTCAAACCGTGAATATTCAGCTGATATTTTCAGTTCTCTCAATAATAATATCATGACGTTTTCTAATGGGAAGAGAATTTTGGTAATGCAACCGGTACATTAAATTTAAAGGTGAGTATTGTTCCCAGAACTGTCGAAACCTGTCTAAATGATAATAATGATAAGATCGCTTTTTTATTGGAAATCTTCCAATCAGACCAATGTCGATAATTTTGAAACTCCGTCATGTGACTGCATTTCAAAATGTATTTTTATGAGTTTCAAAATACATGTACTGTGCATTTAAATTTGATTCAAAGAATTAGTTTTCTCCACTTGTAGCCAGAATGTCTTTGCATAAAGTTGATAAACTTCATTAATTAATTCAAGTTAATCTCTTATATAGGCCTATATTCTTTCGTTTTCCTAGAATTTAGAAGAATCTACCAGTCATGCATAAATTGATGAAGGTACCACCTTTAGACAGACGTGGTAAGGCTAAGACCATTCACGTGTTTTGTCTGATAATTTTGACTTTCCTCCATGCTGAGGGGATAATTGCAATATCCACAAGTATATGGTTGATTGCAAGACTAAAAGGCACATCCTGTGAAGTTTTTGACCAGTTTGTGGCTGCCAGTGTATTCTGGATGGTGTCTGGAGTTTTGTGTATTTTAGTCAGTATTCCAGGTGTCTTAATGACATTCAGACATAGACAGTATCTTCGTCCTCCTTACTTTATTGGAGGTTTCATTATCATAATCATTCTGGAAATTACAGTCGCAGTAGTGGCAACGCTGGACAGCAAAAACTTGTCAAATAAATTCCAAGGTCAACTTTCAGAATCTCTTTTAAATTCGAAAAATCAGGAGTGCTGGAAAAATATACAAGTTGAGTTTGAGTGCTGTGGAGCTACAAGCTACCAGAACTGGATTTCGAACACCAAACAGAATATTTCAGCTGCAACTACTACATGGGGACTTGCTTCGTGTCGGTGCACAGAGGATATAACCAATTGTATCAATGTTGATAATTTTGTCACTATTAATCTTACCTCCTCTTTTGTTTGGCCAACATCTTGTTATCAGAAACTGTTCTCTCATGTGAACCTGCAATGTAACTTTTTACGAATTTTTTGTCCTCTTGTTGCAGTTTCTCAGTTTTTTGCCTGTACATTTCTTGGATATGTTTTTAAAAAGTTAATGCTTAATAATGCAGTTCAAATAGTTCAGAAAAAATATGCCGTTCAATTTTCTTCTCAGGCCACTCTTTGTGACAACTCTAAGACAGATAGGAACTGTTCTCGGAATAGAGACAGTGTACATATGTGAGTACCCTTATTTTAAATATTAAAAAAAAATTCAAGAGCTACAATGTAGCTTATATTACATGTATAAGCAGATTGCTGAGTATTAGAGGGCTTTGTTCTTAAAAACTGTGTTCAGCAATGCTTTCCTCCAGGAAAGATTTAATTGTTAAACTGATATTCAGTCACAATGTTGACTCTGTTGTTTATGAGCCTTGTGTTTGTTTGAATACCGGTATATAATATCTTACCTCAGTAAACCTAGCATGAAGTGTTCAATACATTTTATATTTAAGTTGTTGTTCATGATAAGATTTTGTGAATGAAAGTAAATACATGTAACAGCTAAGGTTTGCATTTAAAATCATATGGAAAGCTTGTACATTGTACAGGTATGTACATGTATTGATCATGATGGATTTGATATTACATGTATTACATGTATTGATACATATGAAATGCTTTGATATGATAAACAATGCAATCTTTTGACCATATATTAAAGTTAATGTGTAATGATGGTCAGATTTAGTCCCATACACATGCATATATAAAGTAAGTCATATGCCGTAAATCACAAAATATTTGCAACACCTTATTTTCGTGTTACATGTACATACATCGATAGATACATGTATATTTAAAAGGGAAAATTTTCGAGATTTCTGGTTTAATTCTTCTTTATACTCTTTAATAAAACTACATGTATTATTATTACATGTATATGCAAAAATTAAATTTTCGTGATCAAACTGCCCCAAGTATTTACATGAAAATAAAATTCTCCTGAATAAAAAGTGATTTGTGGTACATGTATTTTAAAAATATCTTCATCTGAATATCACCTATTATTAATTTTTTTTCTTTTTCTCATACACTTGATTAATGTTTGTCTATAGACAATACACTTAATTAATGTTTTTCTATAGACATTGTATACATGTGTGGGGATAGGTTTCAACGTTGTCTGCAAACTTTTCTATTCACACATTTAAATTGATATTATATTATGATATATTTGAAGATTATTCATGTGATACATGAAATCAGTTTAAGTGCCTATCACCAAATAAACTTTTCAGCTAATGTATGGATTGGAATCTATTTATGTATTGTGTTTACTGCTAAAAAACAAAATCAATATTTTTAGAGAAATGTAAAGTAGCAATGCACATGTTTAAAATTGTTGTACACCATAGTGGGTTTGGTTGCTTTATTTTTAAGTGATCATTTGATTTGATCATTTGATATGTTTAAATATTTGGAGCCAAAGAACATTTTTATGTACAGTAATGTGTTTACATATACCTGTCTTGATACCCATCCTTTGCCTAATGACTTCATATACCTGAATATTGTTGAAAGAATTTAAATGTTAATGAATACATATGTTCATTCAATTGTTCAGTGTCATTTTTTCTTGGTAAATATGACAGAATTTGAATTAACTGTTACTGTTACTTAAGTAAATTTGTTTGTTCAATGAATTTTTAAATTTTAGCAAGATGTCTCTAAATTTCATTTTGCAACTTGAAAAATATACCTTTATTATGTGATTTCTCTTTGTCATAAACAAATTATTTTTTTTATTAGTAATGACTTGTTTAAAATTTCTAGTGCATTGTTTTAATGGTGCAAAATGATTTCAATATATGTATAGTTATAATGTTAATAATTTTAATGATTTTATTTTTTTTTCTTTGTTAGAAATGTTTGAAATTGAAATAAATCGTTGATTTTTGCAATGTTTTAGTTTGTTTACTTGTGTTTTATCTTCGGGTTAATAAGGGCCATTGATTGTCTGTAATTTGGGGGCATTGATTTGGGGGGGAAGACAGAGTTCCCAATTCAAACAAAATAGTACTTTTTTCAACTGAATATGTTATTGCAAAACAGAAATAAATTGGAAACAAAACATCTAAAACCCAAAATATGATGAGTTTTAATGTAGACAATCTCAATTCTTTCAATATTCACAAAAATGTCGCTGATTTCCCCAATTTTAATGGCCCTGGCCCAAGTAACAAAAATAGTGTGAACAGATCCCCACTAGGTTTGTGAACTTTCAGAGATGGGTGGGTTGTCCATGTGGGTGTATTATAGTTTGGCATGTATGAATATTAACAACGTATGCTGCCTTTCAGTTTACATTTATATTTATGAACCCACGGTTCATATCTGAGGTGGATGCCTGGATGAGGCATAAATTTAGGGAAATCTTATTCTGACACCCTCCCTTGATCTACAACCTCAACTTGAAAGTAAGAGACTTTGGAAGTGCAGAACTCATTCGACGTGCATTACGTCTCTGAGTCTCAAATTCAGAGAAAAAATCAAATTCATAGAATTGTGATCCACCACTTTCGGGGTCTTATTGGTTGCAATGCAATGACCTATGGTATATTTGAGGTACATGTATTTTGTACGTCCCCATATATACATGTACATAATTGCGTACTTATGTTCTGGTGCAAAAGTTACAGCCAATTGCAAGGTTAAAGTTTTTGAAAGTCAAACTAGGAGGTCTAGGTCATGAGTTCAAAACTCATAGTATATTCGGAGTGGTCTTTTAACAGGTAATGCCCAAGTGAAAAATATGAAAGTCCGGTCTCTTCTGATTCAAACGTTACAAGGTTCAAATTTTTTGTAAAATAAGTCAAACTTCAAGGTCATGAGTCCAAAAATAATAATTCATTTGGAAAGCTCTTGCCACAGGTAATACATCTGTTAAATATGAAATCGCTATCTTTTTCTCATTCACTTTTAATACAGACAAATTTAATGATATGTCCCACGCTTTCGCGAAAGAGGCTTACAAAAAACATTTTCAGTGTTTTCTAGTGAATGTAAGATAAATTTTATTTTCTTCCAGTTTGACCTAGCCCCCCCCCTCTCTCTCTCTCTCTCTCTGGACGCGCGCTCGGTAGCCTAAATGTAGTACAGTGTACACTGCATTGTAAAGAAGCACATACATGTATTATTCATATGCTGTTTTACGAACACACATGGCATTTTAGAATTAAAATTATACATGTACAAATATTCTACGACATGAAAAATTGTTAACAGATTATAAATGTTACACTTAAGACACAGAATTTTGAAGAGTTCTTTCAATGCATGCATATCAACTCTGTATTTCAAAAATTAAATCAAATCCAGTTAAGTTCATTATTGATAGAAACTCATACAAAATTAAAAAAAATAATGTCTGTATCACAGGTATGAACTGTAAAATATTTTAATCAGAAGAGGTTATTTTTGCTTTTTAGAGCCCCTAAAATGATGTAATGAATTTCGACTTGAATTCGATGATTTTTTCTTTCAGACAAATGATTCTGTTTTCATAATTTTATAATATTCAGACACGTATATACTTAGTCTATAGGATAAAAAGTCGCGGATCTCCGCCGGTTATGTTGTAGTCAACTTAATATGCTGAATGACCGATGATTTCTACCCCAGTCAGCTACATAATAGCTCTGTGTCCCTCCTGCTCCATTGTGAAGATGCCTCTCCTCACCCGTTGCATGGGAGAAAAAATCCACCCAATGCGTTACAGATTTCATTAAATACATGTAAATCTAGGTGCTGGTTCCAACTTTATTTTATGTACAATTTTTATGTACGATATAGTTTTAAAGATATACTATAGTATGCAATTACATTTCATAGAGGAAAGTACAAAGTTCACGCCTGTTCATCAGTTCATAGGCGCTCCCCATACGCACTCCCCAGCTTAATTGTTAAAAAAATAAATATATATCTACTATACTGTAAGATATGTATTTTTTTAACAGTTAAGCTGGGGAGTGCCTATGGCGCTCCCCATTTAATTCGTGAATGCCCCCCCCCCCGGACAAAATGGTACGTGTAAGTCCATATATATAAGTCATCTTCGCTAGCCAAGGGTGACGATCCGCTCCTCTCCTCTTTTCACTGTTCGCTATGCTAACGCATAGCTCATGGCTTGGTCAATCGAGTGATTTTTATTGACTTTATTGATAAAATTGCCAACTCCTGTGGTTAAACTTCAAGTATAAAGACTTTACGAAATTAGATGGGTAGCGCCTATTCATACGCACCAAGACCATCTTTCAAAATCTGATGATGAATTTAAGGAGAAGGAGCACCCTTGCACCAAAACATTTTGCAGGAAAACAAAAAAAAATAAATAAATAAATAAGTATTAAAATCACATTGATATACAATTATATATACATGCACCATGTTTACCACACAATCTACCAGAGAAATAAATACATGTTATTGCATATGTCTAACATCATGAACATGTCATTTATCAGTTATGTCTCGGAAGTATGCTAAATATTGTAAATGCGTGTATTTTTTTTAATTATTATGAAGACTTTTTATTGTACACAACAAAGAAAAAAAAATCAGCTGTTTTTGGGACATGGATTTGCCAATTTGGTTTAGGAGTTATCTCCCGCATCGCACCTGTCGGCACAGCATCTCACTGCGCATGCTTCAAATTATACCGGCGAAATTCATCAGGGAGTGAGTTTTTGAGAGGAATACATTTATACTGTTTTTGCTGACTGACACGACTTTTTAAAGGTAAGAAACGAATAATTCAAGAATCGCAAGCACTTCTTAATAACTTTATTTAGCCCCGTGAAGGTTTACTCCTGTAAAACCATTAGACTCTCTTAGACGTACAGTTCCGGTTTTCTGGTTTCACACCATTTTTGGAGTGGGAGTCAGAAAATGACTCAGTTAGGGAGTTATATAGCGTGAAATAAACAAAGTGATCTTTATCGACAGTAGTTCTGAAGAGAATTCTTTGGGATTTATTTTATAGTAAGTAGCTTGTGTATTTACTTTGTTGACATTGAGCTTTGCGTTTGTTCAGCATCAGTGAATCAGAACCGACTGATGATGTATTTTTAAAGACACCTTCGAATTTGTGTATGCTCTTCTTTTTAGTGAATAATCCACTGACTTGTAATGGCCTTCTTGTAGATTTTACCACTAACAGCTGATAATGATTTATGTGAAAAAATGTATTGTTTATCATAAACCTAGAGTTGCAGAATTTCAGTAATTGTCATCAAATGACAAATACAACACATTTCATTTTCCATTTTGCTGTTCCTATTTATCACTAATATTAATTAATGTAAACAGGGACCTACATACAAAATAGTATATATAGGTCCCTGGTATAAATCAAAAAAGTGTTTTATTATAATAGTATTGGAACACTTTGTCTAAGAAATTACTTTCTGATACATAATTTGTTTTGTATAATCACATGTATTTTATGCATTCATAACCTTCATTGCTTTGAATAAAACATGTATTAAGAATGTATAATTCCTATACACCACAAAGGAAGTTACTTGTAAACGAAACACTTGTTTCAAGTAATGCCACTTTAAAATGTTAAGTTAAACATTCTTTTCATCTTAATCAACAAAGAGTTACAAATTAAAGTACCTATAGTCGCCCCAGTGCCACTTATGATAATAGTTCAGGAAGAGTGATGCTGCATGTCAACATGTGGTCAATAAAGCCTCCAAGGCCATGGAGGCAGACAGTTTGAATGACAGTTTGGAACAATGCTTCATGATGCTGTACGTGGAACAATGCTTCATGATGCTGTACGTGGAACAATGCTTCATGATGCTGTACGTGGAACAATGCTTCATGCTCTGTTCCTACAGACAGCACACATGCTTTATCTGCTGCATCACTCGTCACATCTCAGTACAGTTAAATACATAAAAAAATATAACTAATACGGATAAAGTGAAGAAAATCTAGATGTAAAAAAGCCATATTTTTAATTTGTTAACCAATCATATGAATTAAAACAAATGAGCACATGCAGTCCAGATATTTATAAGAAAGTATTTTTGGTTTTACTCAAATTAAAGCATTTCCTTACTGTTAGTCATTGGAAGGAGGATATATTTATAGTAATGCATGACTTAATTAAGAGTGACATAGAAAAACTTAACCTCTGAACTATAGGTAGCATAAAGTGTATAAACATCCTAGTTAAACTTGTATTAATAAAATGGAAAGGATGAAAGTTTGAAATGCAACAAACAATATCCATTGACCAGAGATTAAAATTTAAGACCCAGGCCTAATAAATTTACTGTTCACAGGTCTCTGTCTTAATTAACTCTAGGAAGCAGATTTGAAATCTTTACAAAAATACAAACACTCTCTTCTCTGTTGCAAATGTTTTAATTAATCATCATTGTGGTTTGTAAGATGAATTATTATTTCATGGCTATATATCCATGGTGAGCAGTGAAATGCTATCTTTGTGTTTTATATATGAGTCAATAGGCTACCTGCCATGGAGTCCACCCACATAACTAGCCCATTCTTCAATCCCTAACAGGTGGATTTTTTAACAACTCTGAAAAATTAAATTTAAACACACAGGTAAGCAGGTATAGTGTATTACACATCTTGGAAAAATGCAAGTTAACAGATTTTCCTTCAACAATATCCCAGTTAGAGTGCAAATGTTGAAGTCAGCATTTTTGTGTAGGAGTTTTCTGCTATGTTTACTCAAATGGTATATAAACATAAATCATTATAGAAGTGCTTTAAAATGTCTCAATCAGTAGAATGATTAAATATAGAGCAGTTAATGCAGTCATATATATGCATATTAATAAATACTTTATGAATTTAAAAAATATTTCGTATGTACTACCAAAGTTGCTTTGACTTTGCACCAATGTTCATTGACCTTTGCATGGTCAGCATATTGTGTACTAGCTTCACAATTATTTTCAGTGTAGTCAAAAATATAATGTTAGGATTCTAATTCTGGATATATAAATGCTGAAGATGTAAGCCTGATTTTCACATGTTCAATTTGTTTTTGTCCTTGTCTGTAACTTTGAACATCAAGCATGAACATGAACATATGGGTGTTAATTGACACACAGTGACACAGGCTTGTTTTGTTGTGAAAGAAGCAATACTGTTTACACATAAATGATCTTACAATAAACATGATAAAGTTCTAATAGCATCCAGGCATAAAATCCAGATGTTACAAAACACAACTTATCGCATGCATTATCACTGCACATCCTCACAGCAGCTGAATTCTGGATAAGTTTTGATGCTATCAGTTCATATGGACATGATGTAAATTATTGCATTGTGACTTCTCAAAGCTTTGAACATTCTGAATGTGACTTTATTGCACAATAATGTGAAGCAGAATATTGAGTATGCCATTTTCAACCATGTCAACATGTTATAACAATACTCGACATATTTTATTCTTACAAATTGCTAAGTATGCACACAAAATAGAAACTTAAAGGAGGTTTAACAAAGTTACATGCACAGTAAAATGCCTGTTATTTTATCTGCTTGACTCCACATTTTTTTCCTTCCTTTTGGCTTCCAAGTTTGTGTTGTGGGTGGTACATGGAAAATCAATCTGGTTTATTTATTCTTTTCATCTGTCTGTGTATGAAATGATAGTCACAGACCCCATGTATTGATTAACTGCTGGAGTGGGCTTTAAGGAGACTCAGGTGATTTAGAATTTCCTGTCTGGTTACCTGTCTGTCTGTATGTCTGTTGATAATGAGATCAATGTGTTTTAATGCAGCTTTGGTGAAAGTTTATTAAACGACCACAATTTCTGAAAGCTTTGTTTACTAGCATTTTCATGAACTAGAAAGTAAGGTTAGCCATGGAGTTTCCTATAGAATGGTTTTCACAAACCAATATCTAGGGAATGGTTGGGGAATAATGTTATTTTACTTGATACAAAGTTTATAAGAGAAGCATTAATTCTTATTGGATGCAGTATGTATCTGGGTTATGTTTATATAGTCATTCAGGTCTAATTGTTTATTTTAGAAAGATTTATCACAGTTCACTTTGAATACTTCATATAATTAACTTGATTAACTTGCTCCTAATCCTCATTAATCTTCAGATCAGGTTGAAAATAGTCCATATATTTCTGACACATACGTCAAGAATTTCTCGTCCCAATTTTGAAAAGCAGGTTAATTTTCTAAAATTAGACTTTCATCTTAAAATTATGGAGGGGACTGAGTGATAACATAGATGAGTGTTCTATCAATAGTGTTAAGCACCCCCGAAAAAATCTGCAGGGCCAAGCCCGACTTATCGTGTCAGCTGGATGCCAGGTATTGGAAGGTCGCTCAGGTAGTTGATATTTTACCTGTTCACAGCAGGCCAGACTTAAAGAAATGTGGTCTTTGTATTCTAAATATTGATACAGGTTTTATAAATCTTTTCCACAACAGCTTAGAGTGCCAGGATTGTATAATGGCTGATCATAAGCTCGTTATTGTGCAGTTCAGGAGATTCACTCTGTATTAAAATTAGGTGTTAATAATTCATGCATAGCATCTAGCAATTCATCAGATAAAGAGTGCACGTGCACTAAAATGACTAGATTCAATTATTTTTTACATAATTTTCTTACAACTGTAAGAGCATGCATTCTAAAAAAAAAAAATGCGAATATTTTTATTCTGCATTAAGTTTCAAGGTCATTTGCTGTTACTGTTTGAAAACAAATGCTGTGCTGCATAAATATTATGCATTTATGTATACCTTATATACAGTCTGGAAACTTTTTATACATGTTTTTAATTTTATTTTTCAGTTGGCCAGTGGTGAACAGTCACTACCATGCAAGCCCCCAACCACTTCCAGGCGGTCAACATTCTGACCCAGCAACCCAATGTCCCCCCTCCTGCCCGCTCCCGATACAGGAAGTTTGACATCTACCGAGACGTGGGCCAGTTTCGTTTCATAGATGAACATGCCATCTCAGTAAGTTGAAGATACCTTAATTATAGGTGTATATATATTTATGTGTATGTGGGATATGAAATTATCCTAGAATTAATGAAGATCAGATCGATATATAAAATACAGTCAGTTATTTTACATGCGGACGAGACGAGCCCTCAGGAATGTAATGCTTTGTATGCTAATAATGGGAAAGCTTTCTGTATACATAAGAATATACGACATTTTGATTGAACTGAAATTGTAGATGAATAGAATCATCTATCTTGGCCTGTTTCTTGTGTAGGGTGACAGAATATATCACTTGAGATGATTTTATTGTAAGTAAGCAAAGAATGTCCTCAAGGGTAAAAAATGAAGACTTTGTGACATTAGTTTATGAATGAAATATATATTTTCTTCCAGCAGAAATCAACTGGACCATGCAGAGAAAAATTATGTGACCATTAGTTTGAAAAAAGATGGATGCTTCATCTTGTTCATTCTTTCCAAATTTTTTGTGTAGTTGGTCACAGCATACTTTTTCAAAGAACTTGCATTTTGTAAATGTTGATGAGTAATGAGTTATTTGGGTATAATTCAGTGCAAACAGTGTTATCAGCCAAATCACATAAAATCATCAATTTCTGAGAACCACTGAGATAATAAATGTGGCCCCATCCTCACTATCAGAGCTCCAATTTAATGATTTGTCTGCTAGCTATAGCATAGTGTTAGAAATTCTCAGTAGGTGAAGTAGTAAATTGTGGTTATTTGATATGGTGTATAAATTTAGAAAATAAATGCACAATAAGCGTACATTATAAAATGCATACAGGAAGTCCACCATTATAAGAGTTGCTAAAGTCTACACTTTTGGAAGACCTTATTAAAATTGATGAAAGGTTTAGTCAGGGTGCTCAAATGTGGCAGTGAGATTAAACTATAAGGCAAGCCTCAGTAATCCAGTTGCCAATGATCCAGATTCCAGACACTTCATTAATCCGGACAATCTGCTTGGGAAGACAAGCAACTGGCCGGATTAACAAAGCTCCACTGTACATGAAATGGTTGTTTTTTTAAAAAAAAAAATCTAGGACATTTTTTAGGATTTGTTAATATAATTCACATTAAGCAATAATTTTTCAGAATGTGTACAGTTCAGAAGGGTCGGAACCTTTTTAGTTCTTTCTACAAATTTTCCTGGCTTTTAACAAGTTGTAGCAGGAACATGGGGTTTCTGAATTTCTCCGTCTGACAGAACATTAGTCAGGCATCTGCTAACTGATGTTACACAGTGAGTTAGAGGAGAATTTTACAATGATCTAACAGACACCCACACCGTCAGAAGATGATTTACTGTCAGTCACTGGAAAAAATGTAGAAACCTAGAACAGTTCAAGTTGGCCAAATGCCCACAGAGAAAGTCCAAAAAAATTAAATAAAAAAGAACCTTGTCATATCATCCAAAAAAAAAAAAAAAACAAGATTGCGATTAGGATGTATAATATAAAAATAAAGTGCAGATTAGAGGATTTTCATGCAGTACCGTATATACTCGCCTATAAGTCGGTCCGCTTATAAGTCGGTTGTATTTTTTAAGCTTACATTTCGGGGATTGACCTGCTATTATACCAATATTTTCATAACTTGCCTATAAGTCGGACAGGGGTTTTTGGACCAAAGTTTAACTCCCAAAAAACCGACTTATAGACGAGTATATACGGTATTTAATTTTTCAGATCTATGAGTTTACTTATTATTTAATTAAAAAAAAAATGTGATTGTAGGTAGCCAGCCAAGACCACAAGACTTTCCGGGATCTAATATGGCACCTGGTCTACAGTCAAAATTACCAGTCGGACTTGGACAAAGCCAGGTAAATATATAAGAGAGATACATTGTAGCTCAGCCTCCGTTGACTGGCAGTTACTCACATTATCTACATTTTTTTTTTGCTGCCAATACACACAAGCAATGACATAAAAAATGCAAAGATTACCAAAGGTTTTGGCATTCTTTGTTTCAGTATTAATCATCCCTGAAGGATAAATTAATGTATATTAGCTGAATGGGAAGCTGGAAATTGTGCATTCAAGTACTTATGCACTATTGCACTATTATAATTCTGTGTTGCACGTCATGGTTACGGAACGTATCAAATAAGTTATCATAATGTTTTTGTGAATTACGTAAACATGAAGCCAGACAGCATACCCTACATCAGAATCATCCTCGTAAAAGTGTGAATCATTCTTCCGTGCAATTTAACCACATAATCTGACGGGGAAAGAAGCCAGTTTTGTCACCCTGGTAACATTCCCTTGTCTGAATAAACAATCTCTGGAATGTTGTTTATTTTTCATTTTGATCAAGTCTCGATCTGGCCAAGATTTTGAGGAAGAAAAAAAAAATGAAGTGGTAGACAAGAATTTATAGTGAAGAATTATAATCCAAGTATTCAAAATCAGGTGATGGCCTTGATGTTAGCCGATAAAGTACTTTATCAGGCGGTGGTCTAATGGCTATATAGATTAGCCTCAAGCAGTTCATGGAGAAGCTATGAGGGGGGGGGAGGGGGTGAGGGGAATGTCCTCAGAAGCCCTCTCCTGTTTAAGAGGGAGAAGGGGTATGGTCCTGTACTCTTAAATAATCTGCCCTTGTGCCATACAGTAGTCTGATTATTAAACTGAGGAGAATCCATGTTAATTATGAATTGGACATATCCTGACAGGAAATCTCCAATCTTGTATAATTGTGAAAACTGTAACATTGCAGGCTAACTCATAACCACTGAACATAAAGGTGAATCACTTTAATACCTTGGTTGTTAACATGTGCCAGCATTATGCATAACTCTATAATACACAAGTTTTGACAAATTGAATTCAATTTATTATTTATGGAGATAAATAAATCAATTAAGAACACATTATGATCTTCATGTGTAGATGATGCATTTAGGCCTATTATTCTGATCATACCTATACATGTACCTGTTAAATTGAATTCAGTTGGACAAAGTATAGAAGTACATGTACTGTATAAGTTTGCAGGGAAAATATTTCACATGAATTGTTAATTTAAAAGTAAATATCAGATACACCATGTACACAGGTAGGAAATTGAATTTCTGTGTCATTGCTTCCTGTTTAATGAAACCATTCCCCAAACACAAACTTGCATTGCACACAATTCAGAGAGCGAGAGATAGAGAGAGAGAAAAAAACCCCAAATGGATTAGTAACTATATAGAGATAATTTCTGATCAGCAAGATGAAACGAAGGCTCAATGAGGCTCATATTAGAACAGATCTACCTCATAAATATCTACACCAAAGTGTGCTAGTCCCGAAATAGAAACATTTAGTATACAGGGAAATAAGCTAGAGTCTTTGATGATGAAGATAGCTCTGTGATCAATTGTCAAGTTTTAGGGATAGAATCTCCTCCCCTATGTCTGGTCGTTAACTGTTGATGTAATAAGCTTTGTGAGTTGAACATTATTAACAAAAACCTCATTCAGATGGATTACCTCGATGCAGAGTATAATATCTAAAAGAGAAAAAAAAAACAAGATTGGTGGTGCTAAAGACAATACTAGGCAAAGTGATCCCTATAAAGACTGAAGTGTTGCTCTGTTCTGTGGGCGACACAAAAATTGTCAGCCCTGAAAACCCCTGATGCAGTTATTGGTCTTAGACTGCCTATTTCTTACACATATCTGATGTACAATGTAAAATATTCATCCTTTGATACTTACATGAACTTGAGAACAATTATACTTCTTTTTGTTAATGTGTGCATATGTTTGAATTGATTAATTACCAGAGAGAATGACATATTCCTTTGAATTAAGAAAAAATAAGTAATATAGTTATGAGGTTGATGTTCAGCGATCTTAGTTAAATATGTTACAGTTTATTAATAAATATTTTATATACAGTATTCAAATGAATTAAATTCAGACTGAGACATATTTTATCACAGCCTTGTTACTCTTACTATATATATTGTATATGCATGGGTACAAGTAACATATATTTTTGTCAATTTCACAGACAAGTCTGGGGTTGATAATAGGAATTAGGAGCCCCTCTTCTAAAACAGGGAAGATATGCTGATGCAAATGTTTTGATAAAGATAGATTTCTTGTCGATGAAATGAGAGTGGAATGCTCTTGTAAATCCTACAAAAATGATAAGCATTTGCCAAAGGCACTAGCCAGATAGTAATGTAGTACGCAGAATTGTTTGTGTGTGCAGAATGCATTTTCTCCAAGTTAATCCATTTCAGAAGCAGTTAAATTGAGCAGGCAGAGCTGTTTTTATTTTAGAGCAGGGAGCATAAGAATGGGAAGCTAACTTCTAATTAACTTCATTTTCTTAATTACATTCCTTTTTATTTACCTCTGCCATTGACCTAGTAGGTACATAACTCGCGGAAGAACCAGAAAAATAACGTAACATTATATTGCTGTCTATCAGAAAATCTTTCAAGGTTAAAGGGGTAAAAAAAAGTTAACGGGCAGCCATATAGGCAGATCCACAGAAGTAGAGATCTAACGAGATTTTTGACAGACAATATGATGCAGAATACTGCGTTTCTCATTTGTTGTATAGATATAGATTGTCCAAGAAGTTATTCTGCCAAAGCAATTAAGTACAATAAATGAAAGTGAGAGAAAATGTAAACTTGAAGGAATATCTAAATTATGAATAATTGCCTGCTTAATGATAACTATAGCCAAAAGGCTGACATTTGATATCCTGTGCAGAAATGTTTTTTTCAGGGCAGACAATACAAAAATTTAACAATATCATTTTTTTCAAATAAATATTTTACTTCAAAGTTTGACATATGTAAATCTTCTAACTCTTTATTGTTATAAATTCTGTTCAATAAGAATTTTGATTTTCTTATTTTCTTGTATTGTATTACTAGGATATAATTTTTGTTAAAGAACTATTGAAACAGTTGACATTTAATGATCACTTTCCTCATCTTGTTCATCCATTCTTCTATTCACCCATTTGCTGTTCTTTAGACAACTGGAACTATTAAGTCAAATTTTGCCACAGTGAATAGGCCTATCAAGCATTTAAAAGAAGTCTGCATTTTCATAAAAAAAATTTTTACACAGAAATAATTTTTTTTTTCAGGGCAATCTTCAGATGGATGACTTGCAAGAACATGTACACAATCAGTTTTGCCAATGTTCCCAAAGGATCCCCAGAAGAAGTGCTGGAGTCCTTCAAAAACAAGAAAGGGACATACGCCAGAATATTTGAAACTCTTTGTGGGTATGTGGTAGATTTAGATCATTATACTCAGCAAGGAGACAGACAGTGAAGTAAAAGTTGCATAAATGACATATTTATTATGAGAATGTTGTAAAATCTGAAAAATTCTGTAGGAAAATGAGCATTTAAATTTTCTAAAGAAGTTCATGCATCCATGTATGTATAAATCCTTCTTTTAAATCCATAAATTTTAGTACACAAGGATCTATGAATTATGGCATGAAGATGTGAAAGTGGTATAAAGAGGGATAACTCTAACATGGATTTTTTTGCAGGCATGCTGGCCTGTTTTGTACCGTGCTAACTGGATTTGCTAAAGGTTTGGACTACAGACCAGGGGACAAATTTAAGGGGACAGAATACAACCACAGCTGGAATGCAGTGTACATAGACAACAACTGGTACCTTGTGGATTCACACTGGGCCACACGATACCTCATCTCTGAGAAGAACATGCCCGAAAATCTGGTGTGTATAGAAAAAAATTATTGCTGCAAGAGTTATCTACTCTAAATCTATTTGATCATTGGCAGAAAAAGTTGGAATAATGGGATTGGGGAAATGTGTCAGAAAGTAAAGTTGTTATGATATTGTTTTGGAATGGGAATGGTCCTTATAATTGCAAAGATTGATGATTAATCATGATTGTATTTGTTTGAAAAAATTTAAATGCTTATCTTCTCAGAATTTGCTAGGAAAAGTATTAATATTTCTAGCTTTAATTCTGTTAATAACTTTTTGTCATTATTTTCTTTGATCTCTTACTGTAGCTAAAATTCTACATAAATTTTGGACATTTGAGACAAGATAATGTCAATTTTTGCTTAAAATTTAGAATTTTCATGATAAATTAGGTAAGCAAAGTAGTGAACATTTTCCTAGATTTTATTTATTGCTCATAATTTTTGTATTTATGTAATGCCATTAAAAACCATAATTTTGATATGATTAAGAATATCGATATACATATTAAAATTTTCGATATATCAATGTTAACGGCACATTAATTATCAGAGATCACTTGATGAGAACGCCCAGCTTGTTATTTTAGGCGTCTCATCGTACAGTAGCGGTAAGTTTCCTGGCTGGGAATTAGAATAATTTTTGTGATACCCAGCAAAAAAAAAAAAAAATGTTTCAGCATTTCAGCAGACTGGTTCAAGGCTTAGTTTCTCACTAACATCTAGAAATTCAAACTCATTAGTGCATGTCATGACAGCTGTTTGAGTGTAAACTTGGAAAAATACAAACTGAGAGAATTCATGCACATAATTTACAATGGAGATAATTTTAATGTGGATAATTTTTGGAGATAATTTACACATGGAGATAATTTATGAAGATAATTTATACGTGGAGATAATTTTAAAGAAATTTTCATATGAATTTCTTCTCAGGTAGCAATTTCTTTTTAGTACAAAAATGCCTAAATACACTTGTAAGCCTCTTCTTTTGGTTAACATATTTACCAACACACAGAAAATTTCCATGTTTACACTGCCTAAAATTTCATGTTCTGCATGACTTTATTTAGAAATTAAAGGAATATCTGTCTACAGTTTGTTTCGAAACATGTTGGAAACTATATAATTGTTCTTGCTTTACAAACTAGGAATGATGTTTCATTAATTGAATAATTAAAAGCAGTGCATGATTTAGGGGGAACTTTGATTGAGGAATGTTTGGAGGTAATCATTTATACAGAAAAAGAATATTCTGTAATGTGTGCATCTACAATCATTGTGAATGGATCAACTCTAAATTCTTATCTCTGTATATAACTTTAACAGTGCATTTTAGGAAATTCCTATTTATACTCTAAAGTATGATACAATTACATGTAATAGTGTATGTAGAAGAATATTGCCTTAATCAAAAGAGTAATTATAGTGTACGTAATTAATACACTGAAATAGTACTACATGTATTAATGAATACCAAACCAACAGCATTTATGATAAAACCACTGTATGTATAGTTTTTCTGAAACACCCTTTCATGTTGCTCTTTTTGCATTCTCTGAAAGAAAAAATAATTTTCTCAGTTTATTTCATTTGTAAATGAGCTTTTTTATGCTTTCAAAGGTTTTAAGTTGCTGGAATTGTGCACTTTTGCTGCATAAAGTGAAATTAAAAAAAAAAAAATAAAAGCCTGCACAGTTGCATTTGTTATAAAATATTAGCAAATATAGAAATTAAATGTGTCACTTTTTTCAAGAGAGAGATTGGTAAAATATTGATATCTTTGTAGGTGTATGAATATGACGACTTCTACTTCATGACTGATCCTGAGCAGTTGATTTACAGTCACTGGTCCCAGCGCGAGAAATGGCAGCTCTTGTCCCGACCCCTCAGTCTGGCCGAGTTTGAGGACCTCCCTCTGGTTAAATCCTACTTCTTCAAATGTGGCATGTACTTCATGTCCCACCAAAAGGGGGTGGTTCCAACACAGAAGGGAAAAATCGCCATCACTGTTGGGTTTGTGAAACCCACTAACTTCACGTACAAGATTGTCTTTGCTGAAAATGGAGAAGAGACCTACAAAGGGCATAAGTTGAAAAGTTACGCCTTGCAGGAGACATCTTATAATGAAGTAACTTTTATCCTCCGAGCACCAAAGTCAGGTCCATACTACTTCACCATCTTTGCCCAACTGCTGACAGGGGATATAGGGGTGAAGAATGTCTTCACTGCTTCTGCAGAGTATAAAATCATTGCAGACACTACTGCCTCAGATGCCTTGCCTCTGCCCAACTGCTCGGACAGTAACTGGGGCCCAGGGATTCCCGTCGATCAGCTTGGCCTGGAACCATCGCAGAAGGATGCCATCATCACCACCACAGACGCCAAAGTTCAGATGGAATTCAAGAAGAACAAACCTGCCTACATTCTTTGTAAACTCAGAAAGGATGGGATGAGAGATGAGGATTTGGAGAGATGTGTGGCAGATCAGGAAAAGGGAGATAACATCGTGGTGACGGCTAATCTCCCCATGCCTGGAGAGTATGGTCTGGAAATTTACGGCAATGATCCAGCAAAAGATGGGGACACCTACACTCACATATGTCAGTACTTTGTCCACTTTGCCCCACCACAAGATCAGGCCAAGGCCTTTTACCAGGAGGCACCCAAGCGGCACCAGGTACCACCGGCACAGCAAGCTTATATTACCAATGGCTACTCACCAGATAACACAGGGGTAAGTCATGAAATAAAAAAAAATGAGTTTTTCCTAGCTTTTATTGAGCAGACAAAATTAAGTACCTTTTAAGAATTAGATTGTTTAATTAAAACATTTTAACCACCAGCTTATTAAACTTTACTTACAAAGACCTCAAATGATACTAATAATCAGAACTGCATGTATTCCATGTACAAGAGGAGTGGGGTGCAGGGTTGTCCCTAAGACCCGGGGGCCGGGGAATTTCGCCGCCTATAATGACGTTATTCCCTGGTTATTTTGGTATTCACCTAAAACTTTCCATGAGGAGAGGAACCACAGACCCCCTTCTACTTTTTTCATGTCCCCTTCTATTTCAATTCTTAGGGACAACCCTGGGGGTATATTGATTGTTTATATGTGAATAACGTTTTTTCATTTACATGCAAGTTGCTGTTACATACCATAAACACAGCCTTGAACAAGGCAATAAATACAACTAAACACAAGGTAACAGCACCAACAGCTGAGTGTAAAGACATATATTTAAATTGTGTATCATATTCGACTACAGTGTAACAGACTCAGACTATTTGCATACACATGTATATATTTATATATACATATGTACATTACCATGATTACATATGATATTCTACAATGTAACACAGTATTAATTTTAACTTTATTATTTCTTAGTATAAAACGATATCTGTAACATTTATCAAACACAGTATCCAAACTTCTTAACTATAATTCTCATTACAATAAATTTCCCACTTTTTCTTTACAATATATGTCCCCCTTTTACAATACATGTACAATAAATTTCCCCCTTTACTTTTATTAATTTACATTAATAAAAATAATCATACTTATTAACTTAATTATAGGAATGGTATAAATGTTTTTTATTCAACATAGATAATTACTGAAATATGTCTTCTTAGTATTAAAGAAAAACTGTGTCCTGTCATGATATTTATAGAGTTTTACCCTACTGCAATTTTTGTAGATTTCATGATTTTGTTATATGCATTGTAGCAGTCAGCTATTTGTGCACTTCAAGGTTGACAGTTCAGAGTTAATGTTCAGGTTGATATTAAATGTAATATTAAGATTATAATTAAGCAATTATGCTCACTTCCAACATTAGAATTTAGAAGACCTATTATGTCAGTGCATTATATTATATGATAAAAGAAAAAAGCTACAATATATATACTTATGTACATGTATATAAAGAGTGTGTGAAAAATTTCCAGACATCAAGTGGACAGGATATCCCCTCAATCTATCTGCAGGAACAGACACACGACTGTTAGATAGACGTGTGATATAAATAAACTTATGATACTAAAAGGAATGTCAACACGATCAATTACAAGAAGATTTCCTTGTAAACAAAGAAGATTGTTTCCTTTTCTCCCTTTTTTTTAAATTTAAAAATGTGGATTGTATGGTAGAATTTTAGCAGGTAAGGGCCTTGGAAAAAAGTACACATTTTCTCTCTTTCTCTCATTCTTTGTTTCTAGTTGGGAATTTTTAAACATATTCAACCTATAGTTGTACATATTACTTTGACAGATCTGTGCAAATCAGCTATTGCTATATTAAATCTACTAAAATGTAAAGGTTTTGAATTGGAAAACACCTTGATGATAGACAGATTAGAACCATTGGCCAGTGATCCTTTCGATGGAGCACTGCATTTTAATGCTTTATGATTGTGAAAATTTAAGTATAAACTGATGCTGAAAGGACATTTCAAGTCTTTTTTTTTTCTTTTTAACAAAATTTACATTTTCTTTGAAGTCGTATATGTTTCAAACAGGTGCCCAGAAACAACAGAATACTTTAAGGATATCAAATTACTTCCTATCCCAATTTATGACACAATGTTTTGCTATTTTTTTATTGTGTATTTATTACTGTGTTAAAACTTGAGTAAATGTTTAATAGCAGATTCACTGACCCATGAAGTATAACAATTCCTTGGAAGATACAACATCATGTCCAGAACATAATCACCTATTCTCACATAATCCGTCCATATGCGCTATTTGGATGTCGCAAGCAATTTAAATTACATTATTATTAAAATAATTGGTAAATTTTGTAGTGTTTTCGTTTGTGATACGTCTAGTTACCAAACCAACATCGTTAAGTGTTAATACACAGATTAAAACTTCCCTGGGATCCAAGTATATAGTCTAATAAATGGCTTCTCGATCTGTCGCTTAGGCAAAAGGCAAAGTTTGGACCAATGAATAAAACAAAACAATTGCATTTTATGCTAAAAAGCACGACTTTTACCTATAACAATGCATGAATATATTGATTTTTAACACTTTTAGATATTTGTCTACAGTGAAATTTTTAAAAAATATATAATAACTTTGTCGCTAAATTTCTGTAATTTACGTTATCAAAATCTTAGTATTTGTGTAAACAGCATAAAAGGGTATCTAAAAACATAAAATATCTACTAGAATATCCAACAAAGTCCATAAAATGCAATCAGAAACAAAGAAAAGTTATATGACAGAATACTTACAGAAACACATTGGTCTTTTAACCAGAGGTGAGTGGTTCGTTTTAAGGATGTATTTTACGTTATCAACGATACTTAAAGAATACAAGTAAAATTGTCTTTGCATATTAATTTATTTCTTCTTCCTGACCTACCAAACACGTAAAATATTAAAACGAACATTGATCTGTGCGACTACACATTTTACACCAATTAATCAGATAGAAAGTAATTTACGTTATGTAATTTACGTTATCAGTATAATACATATATGGTGCCTATCTTGCAAATAAGACGTCGGGACAATACGGAACCATGCAGGAAACGTTATTGGTTTCTTCTCGAAAGCATCTTAACATCACCGAACTTCCGATGTAGATCTGATGCAGGAAGCGCCATCAGATAACGTAAATTACGTGTTACCTTTAAAAACTTTCAAATAATTCCTCAAAGATGTATTTTTGGCGTGAATTTCAGTTGATTTTACAAACAAGGTGTACTTCTATTTATTTGTAGCAATATTTTACGCATAAATCTCTCTTCATTGATTACTTGATGAAGCAAAACATTCATAACGTAAATTACAGTAAAAATAACATAAATTAAATATAATTTAATTGCCTTTCTCCGTAATTATATTTCATAGATTTCATTTAACAGAGATTGTAAAGTCAAAAGCAGAAATTAAAAAAGCATATGGGGAATAAAAGAAGAAAAAATAGGGAGAGGCATAACTAGAGAAAGATGGGAAAATATACATACCAACAGCAGATCTTACATTGTCATTATATTTAACTGTGAATCTCTCAAAAGGATGAAAAATAATCAGTGTTTGTGGCATTTTGTGGGCAATTGAAAATACTGCATGTCATTAGATGGATGAAAATAAGTTCAAGAAAATATTAATTTTTGGTTTGAATACCAGTAAAATTGTAATTTACGTTATCAATATATTTCTTTAAGAAAAACCAATTTAGAATTTTCACAGTCTCTTCCCAAATTAAATTTTAAAATCCTCTTCTCTTATGATTCATAAACATAAAATTAAGTCGCACAGGAATTCAGCTTAAACATTTCTAGTAAGAAGGAACAGAATTATTTCAGTTGAAAAATAAGATTAAAGCAAATAAAATTTGTTAATTACAAATTAAGAGAAAAACACTGGCAAAAAACAAAATTTTCGAAGTATTTTTATTAGTACAGACATAGTGCTAAAAAAATCCAAGTGAAACTGAATATTCATTTTGACAATAAAACGATTTTTGACGGGTTCATTTCGACGTAAGATAATAACGTAAATTACGAAGGTAAATACACTACCTATATTGCATATTGAATATTTTTGTCATCATGCATGGTTGAGTTCTGATATTTTGAAAAATAATTCTCCCATGTTATGTTTGCTAAAAAACATTGACTTCTCACCCAAATAATGACTTTATTTTTTTAATGAAAGTTAGGCTGCATGTGGACGGATTATGTGAGAATAGGTGTATATGCCTTTCCCCCTACTTTTTCAGGGGAACTTGTGCACTGTAAACAGTTGAAATTCATTGTTTCTTATTTACCTGGTAATTAGAATTCAAATCTTTCCTTAGGTTGGAAATAGAAGGCTTCAAAGGATGTGAATGTGTGTACATGCATGGCTATTCTTAATTTTAAAATTCGGTCAGTTCTGGAGGATGTAAATTATGTTAGAGGAAGTTTCTTAATTTGTCATTATATAGTAAATGGCTGATCAGGTTTCAGTTAATTTCCTCTTGTGCTGTTAGTGAGATGGACATTTGATTATTTGTCAGATAAGACTAAAGTGATGGATTATATAGAATACAGTAACTGCATATACATGTAGATCAATAAACAATTTATGTGGAACTTCTATAGTGCTTGCAATAATGTTCAATATGAATTTTTTAAATTTGAAATTTATTCAACATGGAAATTTTACATTGAACTTATTAAGAAACATACATGTATTCTGTTTTGATATTTGCTTAGACACTTCGAATGTATATTTTTCAGTTGAACCAGAATATGGCCAACTTGAACATGGGAGGACCAGGCTATGGAGGAGAAATTGATCTGGACAACCTCCCTCCCCCTCCCCCAGAACTTCTCCAGCAGCAATACTTGTATGGGACAGTCCCTGACAGCAGGCAGCAGGGTGTGTACAGCCAGTTTGCTCACCCCCAGGGTCAGGCTTCACACGGTTTCACCCCAGGGACTGGGAATGTGCCCATGCCTCCCCCTCAGAAGGCAGGGATTAGCAATATTCCCCCAAGCAAGCCTATTCAGGTATGTTTTAGTTTCTTAATGTGTTAGTATAAGGAAATGTTTCATGATAATGAGTTAAAAATTTATTTTTGACCAAGGATTTTATTAAAATCCAGGAAGTTTCATGACCTTTAAAGAAAAAAAAAATTATTGCAGCCCGGAGGACCGTGCTGCTCTATACTTATAAGTTTAAGTGTTGGTATATGGGGATTGAGGTGGGAGAAGTTATTCAGAATTAAAGGTTTTCTAAACATTAAAAAGATTGTTAATCAGAATGTTCTTTCCCTTTATAAATTACGAGATACACAATATATTTACTTCCATAAAGTGAATCTGTAAAAATATGTATGTTTTTCATATTTAATATATAAAGTTGCTTATCATTTACTATCGAAAAAACGACAGGTCCCTTTTTTTAGAACATCAAATTTTACTTATCGCATAAAAACGTAAAAATGTACTTTACACAGTTCGTGTTTTATATTCTTAAAGTGAAAGACATTTTTGAAAATAGGTGATGCATGTATCTGGTTTCAAATTATATTTTATGCAGCCAACATTTACTTGAGGAATTGATAAAGTTTAAAAGGGTATCGTTTTTGTTCGATTTTCATCCGACTATAAGTTTTCAAAATATTCTCGACTATCGTCTCCATCATTTAGACGCATGCCTTTTTCACACATATCGAAGCGGTTTGATGATCAAGACTCATTTCCATTGTTTACTTTATTTATTTCACGGGCGACAATTGATGGTTACATCAATGTTTTCTTGTTTTACTTGTTTAGATTTTATTTATTAGTTGTTAACTGTTGAGTACATGTAGTATATGATATGAAATATCCATCTATAAGTAGTTGTACATGTATGTACGAGTATACTGCTGTGATTACATTTTACTCATTGTTCTTAAAAGAGAGGTCATAAATAAAATATCATTTGTCTTCCTTTCTCTAAAGGTTGAAAAGCGTTCTGTTGGACAGCAGCCTCCCACTGCTCCATCCTCATTTAAACTGGTTCCCGTCAGAACAGAACAAGAAAAAGCTCCACCACCGGTGGCCCCTTCCACAGCCCCAGCCAGCCAGAAACCAAGCCTGGATCAGATTGATCGCCAGGTTCTACACACAGTAGATGATCATGCCATACAGGTATGTTAATAACTTTATGTAAGAAACCCTATCAAAACCTTTTTAATACACATGATTATCATGTATATTTACTTATGATAGTCTGTACATTTAATAAGCAACTTTAAATGCAGTTTTCTTTTTAATATGATTATTTTCAAAATCTTAGATTTAATTAGATTTTTAGCAAAGTATACCAGTATTTGCAAGTAAAAAAAAAAAAAGAAAAAGAATTAATTGTTAACAGATTTAATGTCCTTAACAATTATTTACTGTAGATTCCTTATTTTAAGTGTCAGAGTTGATTAATATCATGAATTGACTCATACAGGTCAAATTGTGTGAGTGAAGAGGTTTTACAAATATTTCAGCAGAATAAATATACCCTGTATATACAAGTAATTTCATTTTGTGAAGAGTGCTTGTTGCGAAATTACGTGATATTAAATTCCTCATATATTTCAACTGACAGTACATGTTGCTTTACGTTTAACTGTACTGTTTTGTTTATAAACAGGTATCCAAAAGTGAACATCCAAGTTTCAGGGAATTGGTTTGGGATTTGATCTTCTCCAAAGACATCACAAATGAAATAGAAAAAGTCCGGTAAGGTCACCAGCTGACTGAAGTCAAGGAACTGCTTCTGTTTGAGTTAAATTTGATTTTTCTCTTTTAAAAACTCATTTTGAAAATACAGGAAAACATTATTAAGGAGTGCTAAGTCATTATTCAGTAAGGAAATGCAAAACTAGAACAATCTCAGTAACTATAAAGTATGGGCAGACAATTGTAGAAATTATTTCTGTTTTATCAGCAAGGTGTTGAACATATTTATTGACTCAGAGGTTAAAATAAAACCACAGCAATTTGCAAATGGAATGATTTGGTGCCTCTTCAGATTAAGAAATAAATATACTAAGTTACACACATCTAGATTTCACATGAAAATGTGCTCTGGGTGTATTGTCATCATAAGCTCAGTATATATACCTGATTCTTATCATTCAGTGGTTGAAAGAAATCTTTCTCATGATATTTGTACATTGTTCAGAAATCGTTCCTGAAAATAAGTACACCTCATTTTGACTAAGAATGACCAATCTTTATCCTTTTTTTTACTGTCCGTGTTTTTACTGTACCAACACTTTATTGGTTTGATATTACAGAGTCATTTTCCGATGGTTAGCAACAAAGAATCTAAAGGAGATCAACTTTGACAAGGTGGAGAAAGGAAGTCCCGAGGAGGTACTGCTGGGACTCAAGGAGGGAAAAACCACATACGCAATGGTGTTTGATACAATGTGCAAGTAGGTTAAATACTTGTTAAGTCTGTCATCTCACTTCATTAGTGATGTCTATGTAGCAAAAATCCATTTTACATCAGTAGGATTAAAATTTTTCATCCACTTCATTATTGTTAAATACAAAATATTTTAAAGATGATTTTGAAATAAAAACAGAATTAGACCAATGTCTGCTACTTAAATTAGAAACTGTGAACTTTTTTTAAATATAAGATTAAACTAGTTCATTTTGATTAATACAAGTAATGTTTTTTTTGTTTTTAGTTTTGCGGGATTGCACTCCAGAATCATTAGTGGCTATGCTAAAGGGGCTGATTACAAACCAGGCATGAAATTCACACCAGGCACAAACCAACACTCCTGGAACGCCGTATACATCTACGGTACCTGGTGTCTAGTGGACGCCCACTGGGCCGCCAGGAGGATCATCGGAAAACCCACTTCTCAGGAGGAGTTCCATTACCAGCTAGATGAATATTTCTTCCTCCCAGACCCCCACCAACTTATCTATACCCACTTCCCAGATGACCCCCAGTGGCAGCTTTTGGAGAGGCCCATTACTCTGGAAGAATTCGAGAACATGCCTCATATGAAACCCCAATTTTTCAAATATGGACTAGAGTTTGTGAGTCATCGTACAGCAGTGATTTATGGACGTGGTGAATTGAATGTCAGATTGAGGTATCCCGCCCACAAGCTGGCTGTTGCATTCAACTTCACTGTGCAATTTGAGAATGGTGATGAAGAATACAAAGGTGCAAAACTGAATCGGTTTGGCATGCAGGAGAGTGTTGGGGGCATTGCTTCCTTCCGCCTCAGGCTACCTGTGAAGGGATCTTACATTCTTTACATCTACGCCAAAGAAGACACACCAGAAAACAAAGATAATGTTTACGCTCAAGTCTGTGAATACAAAATTGTCCAAGAGGAGGTTTCAGTACCAGAGCCTCATCCCTTCCCACCTTGTGCTTACCTTAACTGGGGTCCTGGCACGTCTTTCTACAGGTATGGTCTTGCCACCTACCAGCAAACGGCTCAGATTCTGACGAGGGACGGAAAGGCCGAGTTACAGATCCGAATTCCCAGACAGATGCAGTTCATGGCAAAACTGAAACACAATGATCGTAGTGATGCTGACCTTGAAGGCTATGTTATTCATAGGATTGTTGGAAACACTGTGTATTTTAACATCACTGCTCCAAGTCGCGGTGAATTTGGACTAGAAATTTATGCCAATGACCCAGCAACAGAAGGTTCAACTCTGTACCATGTGGCCCAGTATCTGGTGGAATGTAATGAAGATGTGAAAACAGTTCCACTACCGAAGCTGCCTGCAGGTTACTTAGGAGCACAACCTAAATTCAATGACTTTGGCCTGAATACATTGAGTCATCATATCCCTGTAATTCACCTTGAAACCAACTCAGTAGAAATTCAGTTTTCAACTGCCCAGGAAATGAGAGTAACAGCTAATCTGATAGAAGTTGAAAGTGACCGAGAGATGCCTGAATTTGTTTTCACCCAGACAAAAGGCTCCGTGGTCAGTTTCCTCGTTAACATGGCATCCGTAGGGTTCTACAAGCTACAGCTCTATGCTATCCCCATCAATGACCCCAACCAACAACTACCAGGGGTTTACAATTATCTAATCAACTGCCAGAGGAAAACCAAAGAAGTGTATCCTTTCCCCAAGCAGTATGCTCAGTGGAAAGAAGGATGCTACATGTGGGAGCCTCTTGTTGTCCACAAGGATATCGGAAAACCTGTTGTCAACTTCCATGTTCAGATTCCAAGGGCGGAAGCCGTTGCCGTGGTAACAGATCAGGAGTGGACCCATCTTCAGTCTTCACAGCCAGGCATTTGGCAAGGGGAAGTAAATTTGGCACCTTACTATGGTAAAGGAATAAAGTTCACCTTGAATGCCAACTTTGGCGGCGATAAAACTAGTTATGCAACACTGCTTGAATATTCAATTTAGTTAAGTATGTCAGTGATTTATAGACTATTAATTTTTTTGTGATTATTTATGTTAATCAAACAATTAAGCAAGCATAATGTGTACACCTGCTTAACAAATATAATTATATATTTCTTTCTCAGTTTTTAGAAATGCTTTTGAAAGTACTTGCATGTACATGACATTTATATTTGTGTTGATGCCTTAAGTGCAGTTCCTGATTTAAATGAAACAGCTGAAATGACTGAACTATAGAAAAATATGATATTATTGTATTTTTAAACAAATTTATCATCTGTCAACCATGATTTTAAGCATTTATTGATAATACCTACAATTTTGCATTGTCATTTTATTCTGGGGGATCAATTTTTGTTTTCATTTTCTTGTTGTAGATGTTAAGTTGCATCATTTATTTTTTGTTTTGCTAGGCTGATATCTATTTTGTGAAAATTTTTATAGCTTGTTAAACAAGTGCTTTAATACATTGTATACATTGTAGTGTTTTATTGTTATAATGATCATTGTTCCAGGGGACATAATGCTGTAGGAACCTATTTTGTGCATGAACGTCACACACAGAGAATGAAATATTTTTTTTTAATTTTAGAAATTTGAAAGCTGTTTAAGAGATGTATTGTTTTGAAGAGAGTTTTTGTATTTTGATCCAAATAGAAGTCTACAGAATCTGTTCCTTTGTCTAGTGCAATCACTTACATGTATTTGTATGTAGCCACAGATTGAGTACATTTTGTAAAAGACCATTATATTTCTACAAGCTTTTGGATATCGCACCATTTTTACACTAGTCATTTCAGTGGGTTTACCAATTAATTTTTGGCATTGTCCAATAATTCTAATTGTAGTTGTAAAATTCACATTTTTATGTCACATTTATGTGCTGCAACTGGGAAATTTGTTTTCAATCCTTGATATTTTTTTTATTTCACATTTACATGAATAAAAGTTTACTGTAGCAAATTATATGTTAACTCTTGATATTAAAAAACACACATAAATTAAGCATTAATTTTGTGAGGACATTGCTCTGGATTTGTTTCCAAATTTTATCTATATATACAGTTTTATTATGCTGAAACCTAGATGTGTTCAAAAAATGCTTCCCTTTTGGAAACAAAAATGAAAGATGAAAGTGTACTTTTAAACTGAAAAAGTATAGAATTATTTCCTACCTTCAGAATCTTTAATTATGACTTTTTTATGTATGTCTACAACTTAATAGTCGTATAGTGATGGCATTACACATTAACTTCTCAATATGAAGCAATATACATGTATATGTAAACATGCCTTTTTTTCATTTCTGTTTTATATACAACTGTTGTAAAGTTGTTTGTAGGTAGGAAGTGCTAGGAGTGTTGTTGAGGTCTTGAACAATCTGTGTCTTTTTATAAAGCTTTATAGAATAGTTTATCAATTTGAAGCACAATAAAGCCAAGCTTATTAACACTGAGTCACTGTTATTATTTTGAAGAGAAGTAAGAACCTTCATAAGTTTGAAAATTGTTTGAATTTTTTATGCCAGACTACTATGTAGTGCCAGGGCATATAGTGTTTGTCATTATATTTTAAGTCTTGATGTCTTGAATTATTGGAATTCTTGAAATTCTTGGTCCCATGGGATTTGAGATAGCAAGGCTTGACTGTATTTAAACCAAAATTCATAGACTGATGCACATTTATGGGAACTTTTTAACCATATATCATAATTTTTATACCTTGATGTTCCTTGTGACCTTGACCTCACCATTTCCTATTTTGCTTTTAGCTCAGTTTCAAGTTAATTTTATAAAAAATCATACATATTTGTGGGAGCTCCATGTATTCAACTGTATCCAATTTTTTTGACTTTGACATTCCTTATGACCTTGATCCCACTTTTCCTCATTTTTCATTTATATGTAACTTAGTTTAAGTTAGTTTCAAAGAAACTGGTCATGAAATTTTCATCAATCTTCATACAAAGATACAAGCTGAAAAGAGCTTTTCAACTGTATCAAATTTTTTGGCCTTGATTTTCACTATGACCTTGATTTAAATATTAATTATTTAGCATTTAGCACAGTTTACTAGAAACTGTTCATGATATTTTCATCAGAATCCATACATTGATACATATTGATAGGAATTATTCAAAGTGCCATAATTTTCTGACCTTGGGGTGCTATGACCTTGACTCCACTATTCCTCATTTTGCAGTCAATTAAAAAAATGTTCAAGATACAAAGTATTTTCATCAAACTTCAAATGAAAAGAAAAACTAATGAAGACTATTTAGCAGTAAACTGTGTCAAAAATTTTCTGACCTTGACCATCCATGTGACCTTGAGCCCACTATTAATTGTTTTATCTTTAGCTTAGTTTAGAAGAAACATGTATCAATATCTGTACAAGAGAAAGCAACTTCTATTTTAAAGTCTCGAAAAAATTCAAAAATTGACCCTGTCTGTATCCTTTGCAGCCATTTTGAAAAATTTCGAATCCCAGAAAGTTGTGGAGATAAAAGCAATTAATATTATGCATATTACATAAAAATATCAAATAATTTTGAAGGTTTCCGTTGCTAGTAGAATTTACAAAGTTTGTCAAATCGATCCCATTTCTTTAGTTACAGAAATCAATTTTGAATGGCGCAAAGAATAATCCTTATTAAAAAAAAGATTAGGGGTAATGCTAAGAAAAATGAAATTTTGAATTGTAATATTTCTGTTGTTTCCAAGGCAATGGATACCATTTTAAATGTTGAATGCACTATAGACAGTTTGGTGCTTTTCATTTCTGGAAAATGTCATCAAAATTATCTGCGAGTAAATTTATGAATCGGTCCGACATCGTTCAGGATGATAATTATAATTAACACTGAGAGAAACAACACACAGGGATTTCAAAATATTTAGTTTATTAAGAGATGATTAGCACTTAAGTACAGCTTTTTGAAAAGATGGAACAACGGAGCTCTGGGACACCTCTAAATGGATGTTTCATTTACAATTTAAAGACTTCTGACGAGGAACCCCCACCCCTGATCACTGACGGGATGGTAGTTCCAAGTTAATACCCATTCCTGATCACTTACGGAATGAGTATTCGTAAGGCCAAAAGTTCCGAAAGATTTTGAAAGTTTTGGAATAATTAAATTTTGTCCGCCATGCTAGCCTCAAGATCTGTCTCCGAGGCCGACATTTTGGAAATTTCACAAAAAACATTTTAAGCCAAAAGAAGAAAGAGAATCAAAAGCCAAAACAAAGATTCACAGCAAAAGAGCTCGGGTGTTCCCTCTTTGGTTCCAATTGTATGAAAATTTAAGATATCCAAATTCATTGTCCAGTTCGTTAACATAAATATTATCGGGAGGTTTGAATTAGATTTATTCAGCAGTAAGGTTGACGTATTTCTCGAGCCTCTCCATCTCCTTGTGGGCCACATCAATCTCTTTCTGGATACGGGCTTCCTCTCTTTTCTGTTGTGCCCGCTCCTGCTTTTCGGCCTGTGCCTTCTCTTGAGACTCTGCAAAATATTGAAATCAGGTTAATGCTCAATAATTTTTTTGTAAGATTATAACTACGTATGATGGTTAACATTACTGACAAAATCAACATATGAGCAATGAATTATAGTCCTGGGCTTTAACCTTTAGTTACTAACCATTGATAACTAGGATTTCGGAGGAAAAAGAAACAGTGTCAGTGTGATCGTGCTAGATAAAAATAGCGAGTGAAACTATACTAACACAGTCTTTAAACAGAGTAATTTAAGTAAATAGCATGTCTTAACTGCAGGCATAAAATTAAATTAGAAGTATAAACCTACCTCTCCATTTTTCAAAATCCTCCTTTTTATTTTCAAGCAATCTGGGTGGTGGCATCTTTGGAATTTCCTCAGAGACAAACGTAAGATCAAAGGCCACACCGCCTTTCTTTTCTGTCACTTCCTCTGTGACCATTGTTTTCCGTACTTTTTCGTACGCTTCCATCTCTTCCTTTGCTACACCCACCTTGTTATTTCTGGCAAAACAGCTCTGAAGGAGACCCATGGTCTTTTCAGAACAGAAAATGGCTGTGTATAATAACAAGAGCTTCCGATGTTAGATTATTTGTGACGTCATAATTAGTGTAATGATTATGACGTCATGAATTATAATATTTCATTGTAATAAATTACATACAAAGGGATTGGGCACAAGTTCTTAAAACTTTTAAAAATCGCCCTCTCCCTGCATGAAATGTCTACAAAATTTATAAATTACATGTGTCACACAGTTGTATAGAATAAATTTGATCAACTCACAACATGAATATATACTGCTAGAATATGGCTAATGTATACAATAATAGTATACAAAAATAGTCATTTAAATCTACCCGAATGTTGAATATAAGAATGTACAATAAAAAAAAAGATATTCATTTTCAGCAACACTTGGTGAAATATATATCCCCCAGATTAAAGTATGGGTGTCAATAATATGAACTTTATCAAATCTCAAAAACTTATCGAACAAGCTACATGTAATTCAGAGAATTTGTGTCCCCGCTTAGGGAAAAAAGAAGAGCATGTGCAGTTCGGGGGGGGGGGGGTCGGACCCCCCTTGATTTGTAGAATTATTAAATGTATACATATTGAAGCAAATAAAAAATACCAATATGGATATAAAGATTTGATTGCTTATTCTTTAGTGTGTGAATAGAAGATTCTTTTTGTATAGAATATTTATCACACTGTAATAATGATTTTATGAGTTTGTACAAGCCAGACGTCATAACTTTTTCATTTCACATGTTGAATATTATCATTTATATAGTAAATCCCAAAAAAAGGATGTCGATGAAGATAACAAGTTTTTGTCCCCCGCTTTCACTGAAAGTAGGGGATATTAATTGGGTCTGTCTGTCCGTCCGTCGGGACGTCTGTATTTCTGTCTGACCCCCATAGAAATCTGCCCCCCCCCCTACTTTTTCACAATATATTTTTTACTCTAGATAATCTGGGATTTTCAAACATTACAAAATATAAAGGTTCCATTCAACACCTTTTACCCAACATAAAACAAAAAAATCATTGACCAGTGCACTCAAGAGCAAACATCAAAAATCTTTGGTTCAGAAAAACTTGAATTCTATAAAAAATTATACACAAGAAAAAGAAGTTCATATGTTGATTTACTCAGAAAAAGATCTGAGAGATCCACTCTTAGTAGAATTAGAATAAGTGCACATAAAATTGCAATAGAAAGTGGTAGATATATATCCACATCAAGAAAGGAAAGATGTTGTAATGCTTGCAATACTGGTGTGATTGAGGATGAAATTCATTTTCTTTTTCACTGTAAATCTTATTCTGAGCTAAGAAACACATACCTTAGAAATGTTTATAATATAACAAAGAAAAATATTAATCTGGACAATGAAAGATACATGTTACAATTATATGTAAACAGTGATATACATAAAATCTTAAAAGTTACTGTGAAATTTATATCGAGCGCAGCGAGCGGCGCGAAGCGCCGCTCGTCACTGCGAGCTCTAACGACAACGCCTGGGCGAAGAGAAAATTCGGACTACTGCACATTCATTTCAATAGAATTTTTTTCCGCAGTAATTCTGGACCCACAATGCATCGCTTGTTGTTCTCGCTGCTAACTTCATTCGCGCGGTAACAACAACTAAAAATTCACAAAAAATAAACTCACCTATTTAATGGATATTGCAAACAGATAGTAGATTAAACGTTCTTTGTTAAAATTTTTGCACTTTTCAAACTTCGTTCGAAAATCGGAAATGCAGCTAACATACGACGTCGTGACGTCACAGTCTAGACGTTGCAAATGTCTCGTGCGGTTTGAAGAGGCGGATCTTAAAATTAAGTGAACAATGCGCTCGCCCCAACGGACGCACCGTCAACATAAAAGAGACTGTTTTGAACATAGAAGTCAATTACTTAATACTGCATAAATTTTGTAAACATTATCTAATGATGTTCAATGGGCCTTTGCCAATTATTGTAATTGTGTTTGTGCCAATAAATATTTGTATTTGTATTTGTATAATAAAACCTGTTAAAAACCTTTAGAAATGAGATATGACACGCGTTAATTTTTCCCCAAGAAAATTTCAACATACATGTGGACGGATGAGAAAAGAAAAAATATTTTGTTTTCTGGAGGTTAAAAAAAATTGAGTCGGGCCATTTTAGCCAGTCGGTCGGGAGAAGGTTAACAAACATTTTTTTAAAGATGGCCTTGGCTTATCTCCAAATCATGCACTGCAGTTATAGAATTTCTAATATGTTTTCTACCTCCTTCCCTAGTCCTTTTCATAATTTAAGGAGGAATGCAACACCAAAATTTTATTTAATAGATCTTTAAGACATCCCTTTTAAACTATGGTTGTAGCACTGAAAGACTAATATTAGCTCTTAATTATTTAATACGATTTTTGGGGTATTTTTTCTGAGAAAGTGAAAAAAAAAGTTTGATTTGCAAGGATGCTTATTAAAAAAAATCAAATTTGTTGTAAATCGGGAAACTCTTTCACTAATGTACACAACCTTTCTTAGACCCCAATTAGAATATGCTTCCTCGGTGTTGGGTGGATGTAATGTAGGCGATAGCAAAAATTTAGCTCTGAACTCTGTTAGCTTCTAAAGATGCACTATACTTTGAAACTGGATGGGAACCATTACATGAAAGAAGAAAAAATACTAGATTAACTACAATAACCAAGTTCCTGAATATCTAACTGATATAATCCCAAATTTGCGTTGTAATTCATCAAGTTACAGTACGAGAAATTTACATAACTATAACATACCTAAATGCAGATTGCAAACATGTAAGTAAACTTTCATCCCCCTTGTTATTGACGAATTGAATTCATTACCTCTTTTTGTAAGAAATTCTTCCTCATTGTCTATCTTTAAAAAGTCCATTTCTTACAATAGACTATGCCATCCTCTTATTTCAGTTACGGGATTCGACGCTTAAATATATTAGTACATACAAGGCTTCGACACAGCTGTGTGTTTAATAGCGATCTTTTTCGATGTAATGTAATTTTGAGTCCCCTATGTTCTTGTTGAAGGTTGGAGGATACTCATCATTATTTCTTTTCATGCAAAAAATATACAGAGGCCAGAAAATTTTTTTTGACTCATTTCTGCGAATGGGAAAATTACATACTGTTGATACTCACACTTTACTGTGGGGAGATGAAACGTTAAACGATGTTGAAAATAAATACCTATTTCCATTGTACAAACATTTATTTAAAAGTCAGGTTGTTTTGGTTGATACAATTATTACTTTTTACGAATTCTATACAGCTTGTGTATTATATAAGAAATATATCAAATTGAATATTGTTCCTCTGATTATTATGTTTTTCTGTGTTTATTTATTTTAAGCTGAAACCCATATATGTAAATATGTTTGGTATAGTTTATATGTAGGGAAAGGGCACATTAATTTTTTTAGAACTTTTGCCCAATCCCATTTGTAAAGTTAATAGACAATAAAATACGTTCAAATCAAAGATGCTTTATGGTTTAAAATTTGCTATTAATACATGCATAATATGAATGTCTAATAAAATGTGTAAAGAGAGGTTGGACAGACATTTTAATTTTTATGCCCCCGTAATCGAAGATTCAGGGGCATATAGTTTTTGCCCTGTCCGTCTGTCTGTCTGTTTGTCCGCAAAAACTTTAACCTTGCACATAACTTTTGATTGGTTGAAGCTATGGCTTTCATATTTCACATGTATATTCCTTGTGACAAGACCTGCCTTAGGATACCAACAACTTTGACCCTTTGACCTTGACCTTGAAGATTGACCTACTTTGATTTTGAAAAACTTTAACCTTGGCCTTGACTTTTGAATTGTTAGTGCTAGGATTTTCATACTTCACTTGTGTATTTCTTATGACAAGACCTTCCTTTGGACACCAGTAACTTTGACCCTTTGACCTTGACCTTGGAGTTTGACCTACTGTTGAAAAAACTTAAAATTTGGCCATAACTTTTGAATAGTTAGTGTTAGGGTTTTCATTTTTCACATATGCATTCCTTGTGACAAGATCTTACTTTAGATACCAACAACTTTTACCCTTTGACCTTGATCTTGGAGTTTGGCCTACTTTTGAACAATTTTAACCTAGGCCATAACTTTTGAACAGTTGGTGTTGGAGTTTTCATACTCCACATGGATATTCCTTGTGACAAGACAATCCTTTGGATACCAACAATTTTGGCATTGACCTTGGAGTTTGACCTACTTTTAAAAAACTTTAACCTTGGCCATAACATTTGGACGTTTGGTTCTAGGGCTTTCACATTTCAGGATGGTGTGTATCACTTGTGACAAGACCTTCCCTTGGGCACCATTTGACCTTGACCTTTCCATTTTACTTACTTTGAAAAAACTTTAACCTTTGCCATAACTTTTCAACGGTTGGTGCTAGGGCTTTCATATTTCAAAGGTATATTCCTGAAGACAAGATCTTTCTTTGGGTACCAACATTTTTGATCTCTTGACCTGGAGTTTGACTTGCATTTGAGAAACTTAACCTTCGTCATAAGCTGCCATACGGGGGCATCAGTGTTTCACAAACACATCTTGTTTAAATTAAATATTATTTATGAATATAAAACACAAAATTTGTAAATATTTTTTGTACCTATGGATAAAATCTTCATAAAACTAGTCACAACTAGGGAGAATATGATAGTCAATCATATTTTAAAAAGAAATTGAAATGAAATTGCTAAAGAAACTGGGGGGATAAACTGAGCCATATGCCTACATAACGATCCATAAGAAATCAATAAATTCATTTTACAAAAATTTCACTTTTTGTTGAATCAATGTAATGCTTATTACCATTTGGATACAATTTGACAAAACCTGAATACTGTAACAGCGAAAATGATTCTGATTAACAGAACAAAATGGAATCACGCTCAATTTTCACAAAAAGTGACATAAATTGGATGATATACCTACATTTTATAAATAGAGTCGGTCATCGTACAATTTTTTTAAGAACGATTAATGA